TCTTTCTTTATCGCATATCACTCTCTCCATCTCTCAAATCTTCACTTTGCCTCAAAACAACGTTTTTAATCGAAATTCTCTTCAAATATCATCTCCTAAACCTGTTAGAATCATAAAAAAGTGCAAACTTCATCTAATCTTACTCAAATCCGAAATTCTTCAAGGTATTTTCCTAAAACTTATATTTCATCAATTTTTGAACATAAAACTAGTTTTAATTAGTTCTAGGTTGAACTTTAGATCATGCATTGATTGTTTAGCGATTAGAAACTAGATTCTACAACTAATTTCATAAAAAAACACAAGAATTTTCAAAGATTTTAAAAAATTTCGAAATTTAAAAAAAATTATATTTTCAAATTGTTGTGTTTTGATTTAATTATGTTGTTATTATGAAAACATATGTATATTGATTCTCAAAACCTTATTTTTCAATAGTTTTCAAAAACTTTGCCCATTAGGATTGGTATAGAGAACCTTGAAATATTAAGGACTCAATTGAGTTTTGAGATTGATTATTTTGCATACATGCGTTTTAAAATTGTAGGTTATTCTTTCCATTCCGATTATCTTAAATCATGTCTCATAAACGTTCTAGAGCTTCCTTTAGTCGTTCTAGTCAACCTCCAAATCCTCCACCCATCCAACAAATTCCTAATCTTAATCCCGATGATCCAAACATGACCATTCGCAATTCTTGTTTTAATGAACCCGGTCGAAAACAAAATCTCTACTTTAGATTTTGTCAATACTTTGAGTCCTACAAAATCTGGGAAGAACGAATCCCATCTCTTCAAGCCATGTTAGACATAAATTTTCGTCATCTTCCTACTCTTCAAGAGTGGAAATTTGACAAACTCTTCGAGCTTGAACCAATTGTCTACCATCAACTTGTTCGTAACTTCTACTCTAATGTTATTTGCATTAAAAACCGAGAGAAAACCTTAACCATAGGGATCCGATCCTATCTTCTAGGATGATTCCTTCATCTTGACTCGGAATATATTACCACCGTATTAGGATTAAATAATGACGGGTTAGATAATGAAAAACTAACGGTAGGATCTCAGTATAAACGAAGGGATAATACGAGTGTTTTAGATCTTCACGACCGTTTTCTTCACCTTATGATCTCTTGGTGGTTTCGACCATCTGGAGGCCGTTACTCTACTCTTCGAGCCTTAGATTTATTTTGGCTACATTGTGTCCAAAATAATCTCAAAATCAACCTTCCACAGATTATCTTTTATGAACTTGTCGAAACCGTAAATCTTGTTCCCAATAAAAAATTATGTTCTTCTTTAGTTTATGGTTGTATTGTTAGTAATCTGTTTAAGAAGGTTATGCTTAGAGTTGGTATTGATGCTTCATTTCCCTTCAAAAACCAAATCAATATATTCTCTTTAACTAAATTGGGATGGAAGATCAATGAAGAAACTGGTCTTCGGATTCGTACCCGTGAACAACCTCCAGAAGAAGATAACTCCAACGATGAGCCGGAGCAGCGCGAGGAACAAGTACAACAAGAAGATCAAGTGCCTCCATACTTCCGAACATTTATGGAGAACATTGATTTGAGGCTTGCATCCATTGATTCAAATCTGACCGCTACCACTGAAACGATGAATCGTCGTTTCGATTCGTTGGACAAAAGGGTCGATGCACTTTCACGTGATGTGACCAATATTTGGACACATTTATCTCCTCTTGATGCGCCGATGGACGATTAGGCCCTATTCTTGCTTAGCTTTATTTAGATCATAACTTCAAACTTATTGTTTTCAACATTTTGAATGACTTTGGATTGTTTTACTTAGATTGTTGGATGTTTGAATTTGTTTGATGGATTATGGATGTTTGAACTTATATATATTTGGTTTGGTTAAATTTATTCATTATTGCATCATTTACATCATGTTAGATATATGACCAATTTTTCCATGTCACATTGTTTATGAATATTGATTATGAAACTAATGGCTAACGTTTCTCTTGATTGTGATCTTAGCAGCTTAAGCTATATATATTTATCATCAATTGGCTAAATGATTTCAAAACCTTGTTTAAAATCTTTTAAAAGTCTTTTTGATTTAACAAAATGGGGGAGAAATGTTAAAGTATTTTAAAGAGGAGAAGTGTTAGAGTAAGGGGGAGTAATTTCAAAACTTGATTTCAAAATCTTAAAATTACTAAAATGTTTTGTTATATCAAAAAGGGGGAGATTGTTGAAAACATTTTGATATTTCGATATAACAAATTAAGATAAATGAATTTAAGATTTTCCAAAATATTTTCTAAGTATATTCGATATAATTATTCGAATATCAAAATATTACTTCAAATCTTTCAAATGTCATTTTTAATTCTTACTCAAGTGTAAAATTAAGTTTTAAACTTAAAATAATTTTAAAACAATTTTACAAAATATTTCGAACCATTTCAAAGCCAAAAATTCCATATTGCTCAGAGGGAACCGATTCCCCCCCAAGGGGGTACCAATTCCCCCCTGTTCAACGGTCGAAATATTTGAATTTTATACTTAGGGAACCAATTCCCCATGAGGGGGTATCGATTCCCCCCACGCTCCAAGCTGTTTTTATTAATTGATTTCACACTAAAATGACTCTATTGACTCCACTAATCATTCCCAACGTTCAGAATCATTTGAAGGTGTATTTAAACAAGCTTATAAGTCATTGATCAATAACAAGAAACAAGAATAAAAAAGAATCAAGAGAGAATCAAAGAGAAAGCATCAAACCTCAAGTTTGAGCATTTTCAAGCCTATTTCATTCAATATTCATTTTTGCTTTCAAGAACACTTATTGTGCTCAATTGTATTATTCTTGAGTGTTCTTTCTTTGTTCTAGAATTGTGCAAACATCTTGCCTTGTGAGGATTTTCTTGTAAGTTTGCAAAATTTGTATTGTTCTCTTTGGGAGAGAGTTTCTCAAGAATTTGGGGTATAATTCTTGAGGGATTTGTAAGGTTACTCTTTGTCCTCAAAAGAAAGACAAATTAGTGAATTTGTGGAAAATCCTTAGTGTGGATAGCTAAGGTAGTGGACGTAGACTTTGGTTGAGAAAGTCGAACCACTCTAAATCGTTGTGCAATTACTTTCAATTTTCTGCAAAATCTTCAACCAAAATTTTAATTGCCAATTCACCCCCCTCTTGGCCGATTCCATCGATCGATTAACTCAACATAATCGATGCACTTGTTCCTGCTTGGAGGCACAAGGTGTTACCGATGTGTTGTTCGGTGAGTATAGATTCATGGGGAAGCTTGCGAGGACATGGTTTAAGACGGTGGACCAACTCCCTATGAAAGTGGGCGATACACATTATGGCCCTCTATTTCCATTTGGATTTGGCTTGACTAATAAACCTATCAACCATAACTGAGAGACTATTTTCACTGTCAATTCGAGAGCTGTTAATGTAATCTCATTATCAATCTTTTGAAATTAATGAGATTTCTTATTGAAAACTTTATGATCAAATAAAATGTGATTGTTTATCTTGAATTAATATGCATTCAATATTTTTCGTTTTTATCTTGTTCACGGGCTGAATTATTTTCCTTTTGTTTGTTTTGGTGAAAATAACATTTTTGGCCTTTCATATTTATTAATTTAATCATTTTAGTCCTTTATTTTTTAGGGTAAAGTATAGTAATGGTCACTGAACTTTTTTAAAGCTTTCATTTAGGTCTCCCAACTTTTAAAACTTACAATACAGTCCCCCAACATTTAGTCTATTTACAATATGGTCCCCAACAGTTACGTCAGGGACCATATTACAAACGGACTAAATGTTGAGGGACCATATTGCAAACATGCTAAATGTTGAGGGACCATATTACAAACGAACTAAATGTTGAGGGACTGTATTGCAAGTTTTAAAAGTTGGGGAACCTAAATGAAAGCTTTAGAAAAGTTTAGTGATCATTACTGTACTTTACCCTAAATTTAATATAAATATATGTTTTATTAATTTAATCTAAATTTATCTTAAACTTGTTTTCTTAGGGTAAATTTGATTTTTTAATTTATCTTAAACTTTTTTATGAAATATTATTATATTTGTAAGTAATTATTATTTGATACACTTTTAATAAAAAAATATTTTTTACGTACATTAGGATGACAAAGTGAATTCTACGCTTAAGCTTAGAAATTTAAAACTACTTTTCCATGGACCCGCGGGAGAATGATAATGGAGGGAATGACCCATCCATCAATTTTTGTTCTTTTTGAAGAACCAAACGAAGTTTGAAAATTCTGGCAAACTACAGTTTGAAAATTCTGGCAAACTACAGCTTTGCAGGCCCGATATAATAATAATAATAATAATAATAATAATAATAATAAACTTTTTCATCTACCAATGCTGCTACATTTGTGTCTTAAATTCCCATAACATGTGTATGGCATTGGCATATGGATTGAAAATAAACACCAAATCTATGAATGAAGAACACTAAAGGAAAGGCCTTAAACTAGCATAAATTTACCATTACAGAACCTTCTCCAAGGCTTTTTGAAAAAGATGATGGCCCCTTGTACTGCCAGACCATCCAATAGCCTATTGTTCACATGGACCTGGCAAGCATATAAATGAATAAAGGAAATGTCAAAGGCTCTCACTTAAGAAAATGTGAAGCTCATGTGCTGATGGTTGCTCGATCGGCACCTATCGCAAAAGCTCTCTTCGAGTTGGCAGATGAAAATGAGAAGACTGGTTTTAGATGTGGAATTGTGGTGATAATAACTAAAATTGGTACATATATTGGTACTGCTAATCGATCTCAAAAAATAAGTATCAAAGACCAATTCGCCAGTATTTTGACTAGGTAACATTTAGAAATTACAGTCACAAAATAGACACACTGCATGTTTAGTACCTATATGAGAACTTCTTTCAACTTCCAGGGTGAATTAAGGATCCTCGCAAATAAACTAAAATTTCAAACCACTAAAGTAACAAAAAAAATGCAATCTAATTCATTCTCCTGATTAGCTCATTGATGTAATTCTCACGGTTGCCAGCATCTCCTCCTTCAACATAGTGGTTTCTCTTCTTCTTCAGACCTCCCAATGGTGCCTTTAGCCGTAATGGCCAGAGAAAGTTGTTGGCCTCCTTAAAATGAGGCCCCACGGTCATGATCTCATGGATAAGATCTTCCACACGGATGATGCCGAATTTGCCCAAAGCTTGCAACCAGCACAAAAACCATTGCGCTTTATAAATGTTTGGTGCCAACATGAAAGTAAACTATGTAAGTGAAACGTTACAAACCTGCTCAACGATTGCATTGTCAGTCAAGGCAATTCTCTGCTTGTTCAACTTCCCAAAATCTCTTTTGTAAATCACCTCACGCTCTTGAGATTAGGGTACCTTGATGCATGCATCAGTGAGAAATAAGTCATGGGAAGTATAATAAAACTATTAAAACAGCAACAAGGAAGCAAGGAAACCAAAAGATACCCTAAGTCACATATGGTTCAACCAGGTGAAGCATGTTCATTGTTGCCTTGTTCACTGACAAAAACAGCTTTGAAAATCTGGAATCCATTGACGCAGACGTCACAGTTTATATTTAGATTTTATTTACAAATTAGAAGAAACTATTGATGGTTTCTAATAAACTAACATCAATATCCCTATAGTGTAAGAAATAATCATTTTTAGCATGATTAAGCAGCATCAAACTAAAACATACAAGTTTTACAGCAAGTTTTCCATCACTAAGAAGCTAGGCCTAGGGGCTAGGACATTAATTGTGCCAAAAATTTAAAACATGTGTATACGAATTATTTTAAAAAACATTTAACCCGACGTGAATTGAACGCGCAACCTTCTGAACTGGAGTCAGTCTCGCTACATTTGCGCCACGGATCCGGACGGAATTCTCCTAAAGTAATAACATTAAACATTTGACTCTAGACGAAACAGCCAGCAATTTCAAATTTTTTTATGAGACGGATACTAAATAATCTTAAAATATATTTTAAATCACGTCAAGTTCGATTATAGATAATTTTAAGATTAAGAAAATGATTCCGAAATGACGAGAGATAATTTGACTCGCACCAAATTCAAGGAACCAGACTATAAAAAATCTAAGACTTAAATAATAGCTTCCATAACGTGACATTGACTCTCCATTACATTTGCAACCAGAATAAGTAGCTTCCGAAACTAATCAAGGACCTCTAAAAGAATACCTCGACCATTAAATAAGGCCAGATTTATTTATATTAATTCATCCTCCTAATTAGCTCATTTATGTAATTCTCACAGTTTCCGGCATCTCCTCCTTCAACATAACGGTTCCCCTTCTTCTTCATAGCGCCCAATGATGCCTACTTCCTAGAGCTGAAAGGGCCAGAGGAAGTTGTTGGCCTCCTTAAAATGAGGTCCCGCAGTCATGATCTCATGGATAAGATCTTCCACACAGATGATGACTAATCTGCCCAATGCCTAACCGCGATAAAAGAAACAAGCATGCTTAGTAATGTAGTTCACTGACATGGGACTCTGTAAATGCAGAAATGAGACAGACCTGTTCAACTATTGTGTTGTCGGTCAAAGCAACTCTGCTTGTTCAACTTCACATAACTGCTTTTGTAAATCAGTTCCTGCACACCCTTGAGATTAGGGTATTTAGATTCATATGTTACCAACAAATAAGCAATGACAAGTATATAAAACTATCTAAAGAGAAAGCAAGGAGGCAGGAAAAAAATACCAGTGAGTCACATAAGGTTGAACAAGGTGAAAGCATGTTCATTGTTTGTTCCCTTGTTTACTTTAAGGAAAACACCATTGAAAATCTGCATTCAACAAGATGCAAACACATCAAATTAGATTTAGAATTTGTTTGTTCGTAAGGACTGTCAAAAAGTTTCCAATACAATTAACAACCACCATCCACCAACAGCGTGGAAAGAAATACCCAGTGTTACCATGGCAAAGCATCATTATACAAAAATAGGCACATTCCATGGTATTGTAATCGCTGGAAAGCTAAGATCATTAACTTTCGATTTCGAGTCACACTACTGAAATGGAGCAGCCGGAGTTCAACAACTACAAATAAACAGTGCACACAAAAATTTTACTTGGACAAAAACTCTCAAGACCAGCACATTGAAACACAAGAAGAAGTGGGAAATCCGTTCTGGTAAGTCATAACCAAAATGATAATTCTCGTAATTTGGGATAAGAATCAGTAAGCTACCTGTCTCAATCGCAAGAGCTGCAAGATCTTTCTTGTCCTTGGGTGCATGGCATTGATACTGTAAAACAAACATTAACAACATGTTACCGTTTAGAATTTAGATTCACGTGTGTCGAAACGATTTTTTTCCTAAAGGTGAGAAAATTGAGATTTTGAAAACCACATTAATTCTAAATTATCTCTTTTTAATTTAAAAATAAATGCGATTTAAAAGACCTCTCGTTTCGAAAAATTTTGAATTTCCTTTACGATCGAAAAATACGGTTCGAAGAGTCGCCACCAATCTTTGATTAGAGTGTGATTGGGCACCCAGAAATGCTTTGTCATTTTAAATAAAAATTAATTTTAATTAAAACAACAAATTGAGGTCTGCGTTGCCAAAAAAATGAATTCGGGAGTCGGTTACGTGTGGTGAAGGATTAGCACCCCCACAACGCCCTAAATCGGTACATAGTCGATTAATTAACGTCTTTGCAATGAACTTTACAAATTCGAACTTAATTTGGCTCTTGATCCCATAAAACAAAGATGTAAACTTAAAAAACATTCAAAAGCATTCAAATAAATTAAATTAAAATTACCAAGTCGTTTTAGAAAGATAAAGAATGTTTGATTATTTACAAATATCGAGACCAGATCTTAAAAGCTATAACAACCTTTTCTCGATAAATTTAAATACTCGAACATTTCTTTTTCTTCCATTCCTAAATTTTAAAGTGATGGATCAATTTTTAGGCGTCACTAATGGGATACACTTTTATTTTAAAATCATCAAAAGCGGACCTCAAATCCGTTATGACAACCCACTTAAAACAATTTTAAATTAAAAGCATATTACCCTTAACCCAATTATGTAATATGTCGAGTTATGCAAATGAGGCTATCATGCAAATTATGCAAAAAGTGGATGTCATGCCAAAATTAATTAAACAAAATTAAAAATATCATACAACGTGGCATACAAAAAATTATATACGTATATTTTAATTAAAAATCATAAATTATGCATATTAACATATTATATACATATGTGACCTAAATATAAGAATAAAAACATGACATTCTACACTATAAATTTCAACAAAAAAAATATATACATGTTAAGATAATGGCTAAATTTAAATACACAAAAAATTAAACATGCCAATCGAAAATTAAACCAGGGACTTAAATAAAACAATACACATAAACAAAGAATCTACACCTAAATAACCCAACAAAATTACAACTAAAATTAAAACTGGGAAAATAACTAAATCAAAACAAACATAAAAGATTAAACTCAAAAGCAGTCCTAAAGGTGATTAAAATGCAAAAAACACTACACCTATAAGGACCATATACTGAATTTACCCTAAAGTCTGAGTGGCCAAAAGTTAATTAACCCAAACTATTACAGTGACTAAATCCTAATTTAACCAAAAACTTTACTATATAACTTAACTAAAAAAACCTATGTAATATGTTAAAACAAAAGTGTACAGTCGCTCAAGCTTTCCATTCTTCCCTCTCTTCCACGCACAATGCTACCCTTTATTTCAACAACCACCGCCATTCGGTCACCACCTTGGTGGTCTCTTCCGATCACAACTCACACTCTCTCTCTCATACCTCTCACGCAAACATCGACTTCCAAAGGCCACGACATTGCTGGCCGAGATCCCTAACGCTACTGCTCCTCAATCGTAAGTCAGCCCCGACTCAACGCTATATTCAACTCCCACTCATCTCACGCACAACCAAGATTTCATTACTCCGACGAGAACCAGACCTAGCAAGGTAACGAACTAACTCTTTTATTTCTGTTTTTTATATATATTTAAAACCCAATAGATGAGAGCTAACCTAAATAAATGATGTGCAAAGATTCAAGTAACTCACCGCAACCTTACCCAACTCTAACAACGTTGATATCTCGGCAAAAGAATTTTAAAGCCTACAATTAATTTACTTCAAACGACAAGGCTATACCCGATGGTACCTATTTCTACTTTCATATATTGGATTTGCACTTAGAGTGAAAATTAATAAAACAAATGAGGAGAAAAAAAACTAATATAAATAATAATGAAGAAAAAACCTTGTATGAGTTGTATTTCTCTTTGCACTGTTTTGATTCTCTGAAAAGAATTGTTTCCTTTGATCTTCGAATAAGAGGATAGTACAATATAACAATGTTTTTCTTACACTTTGCTATTTTCTGTAAAAAGATTTAATGGGGAAGGTGTTTTTCGCCTCTGCTCTCTTCGTTCCTTGTCTTCTCTTTTTAGTAGTTAATTCCCAATTAAAACTGACCCCTGACCCTTTACAGTTTCTTTATGATAGATTAAGAAAACTAAAACCCCTTTTTTGATAACTCCCAATAACTACTTTTAGTTTTCCAGAGAGTATTCACGTGGGATTGAGTTGGTCCTTCAATTACTCTGCTTCGGGTCTACTCTGACATAACCCCGAACAAATTGAGTATCTACAGCTGCCCCTCTTTGCTCATTATCGTGTAACAAGAATAGAGCAAAGATCAAAATATAATTGAGTTTGTCCGGTCTTGAGAACTTCAAAAGATTAAAGCACTCCACTGTTACTTCGGGATAAATGAAACTTGAAAAATCTTCAAATGACGGGTTCTCTCCATCTTGTTCAGGGATTAAGGAACTCGAACAATCTTCTAAAAATAGGGTTCGCTCCCTATTGCTTCAAGGAGTAGAACTCGAATAATCTTCTGCCTACGGGTTCGCTCCCTCTTGCTTCAGGGAGTAGAACTCGAACAATCTTCTGCCAACGGGTTCGCTTCCTCTTGCTTCAGAGAGTAAAACTCGAACAATCTTCTGCCAACGGGTTCACTCCCTCTTGCTTCAGGGAGTAGAACTCGAACAATCTTCTGCCTACAATCCTCCCTCTTGCTTCAGGGAGTAAAACTCGAAGAATCTTCTGCCTACAGTCCTCCCTCTTGCTTCAGGGAGTAAAACTCGAACAATCTTCTGGTGTGATTCTACTACACTATTCTCCCATGAAGGCTCAAATTCGAAGGTTAAACAACTAGATATGAGAATCTTCTTGGACTCGGCTGCCATATGAACCTCTCTCTTCCTGGGACCTTGAATTGGTTAATGACTCTTCGTGCTTATTTCCTTTTAATCAATTGATTTGCATCTTTGTACTCGAGAACCTTCGATTTCCTCCCACATCTAATGATCTGATGTTTGCTCTAACACTCTTCCGAGAAGGCTTAAAATGGCCCGAAAGACTTATCATCTTGCTCGAAAGACTTACTGATGGATTTGCTTCACTACTCTTTGGTAAAGGCTTACAAATTACCCGAAGGATTTAATCAT